AACAAGGTACCGGGCAGGGGACACGTCCGTCCGGGATGGCGCTTCGGCCAGGACCGGCGTGAGCGTTTCCAGCCCTCGCTGGCAGCCAGGGCCGTGGGCTCGGCCCCGCTCTCCGTGTGGCCGTCGCAGGTTTCTCACGGGAGGCGCCTGCTTTCAGGTGCACCTTGTGGACCAGCACGCCAAGAACGAGTTCCACGTGCTCCAGGACACCTTCAGCATCGCGGCCATCAGCGGGGACAGCGAGCAGAGGTTCTTCTTTGCCCATATGGTGAAGCGGAATGACGTGGTGATCTGCACGGCTCAGATCCTGCAGAACGCGCTGGTCAGCACGGAGGAGGACGTGCACGTGGAGCTGACGGGTAGGTGACAGGGCCACAGTGCCGCAGTCCAGGGATTGTTCCTTTCCATGTGACATGGATCTGGTCCAAGGATGCGTCCCCACGGCATGGGATTGCCCTGGATGGGCTCCCAGCCTGCTTTGGCATTGCTCATCCCTGATCTCCTTCCTCACACCGGTGCAGATTTTTCCTTGCTGGTGATAGACGAGTGCCACCACACGCAGAAGGACGCCGTCTACAACAAAATCATGCTGAATTATCTCCAGCACAAGCTGAGCGGGCACCAGAACCTGCCGCAGATCCTGGGCCTGACAGCGTCACCCGGCACCGGGGGCGCCACGTCCTTCCAAGGAGCCGTCGATCACATCCTACAGGTAGGACAGCCCATGTTCTCAGCGTTCCCACCTGGGAATAGGCTCCAGGGATTGCACGGCTGTAACAGGCTAGGGCAGCTGGACAGCTTCTCCCATCATTTTATGGGAGCATCCCTGGCGGATGGACGTTGCTGACCTTGCTACGCACCTGCCTGTCTCAGGCATCCTGAATAAGCCTAAAACTTGCCGAGGTGCCACCCGGTGCCCTGAGCTGCTCCTCAGGCCACGGAGGCACCATGTGGGGTGCTGCTGTAGCGGTTCATCCAGCATCTGGACGTGGGGCTTTCTCCCTTGCAGATCTGTGCCAACCTGGATGCTGCTAAAATCGCGTCTGCCCAGAAGTACCTGCACGAGCTGCAGACGCAGGTCCCGCAGCCCCGCAAGCAGTACGACCTGTGCCAGGAGAGAGCGCGGGTGAGCGGGGCGCGCGGCTCCCAAATGGGGACCCTCTCCCGAGCCCCTGCGCTGGAGCCTTTGCCCAGCAGGTTTATGTCCCTCTATCTGCTTAGCTCAAGACTGAGCAATCGGTTGGCCCAAAACTTTTGTGGAGAGAGGTCCTATAACCAGTTGGGTCCTGCTGGAGCTAGATGTTCTCCGAGCTGTACCTGAATTTCCCTGATTCCTGGGATACGGAGCTCTTCTTTGCTCCCAGGACCCTTTTGGAGAGCGGCTGAAGGGGATCATGGACCAGATCCAGCAGTACATGGACGTTCCCGGCCTGTCGCTGAGCTTTGGCACGCAGATGTACGAGCAGCGCATCGTGGAGCTGGAGACGAGAGGTGAGGGGGCTGAGCAACGTGGGATGCTCTGGAGCAGGACGGGTGCAGGGCTGCTCGCTACGGGGACCGGGCTGGAACCGCGACCCGTCCTGTCCCTCCGCAGCGGCAGAGACGTTTTGTCGCAAGACGCGCGTGTGCGCGCTGCACCTGCGCAGGTACAACGACGCCTTGCTGATCAACGACACCGTGCGCATGATCGACGCCTTCCAGTGCCTCAGCGAGTTCTACCTCGCGGAGAGGGACTTGAAGGATCCGACAGAGCTTTTCCTGGCTGCCGTGTTCGAGGGTAAAGGAAGGGCCTGGTTGGGATCAGCCGGGGGGTTCGAGGCCAGGCCACGCTGGGAGGAGTGGGGAGCACTTCTCAATCCCCCTTCTCATTCCCCATCATTCCAGAGAACAGGACCCGCTTGCTGGAGCTCGCCAGGGACCAGCAGTACGAGAACCCCCGGCTGGGCAAGCTGGAGGAGATCCTGCAGGAGCAGTTCCAGGCCCCGGGCACTTCTCGTGGCATCGTTTTCACCAGGACCCGCCAGTGCGCCCACAGCCTGCACAGCTGGCTCAAGGACACGGCGTCGCTCCGCGGGCTGGACATCAGGGCGGCCGTCCTCACCGGGGCCGGCTACAGCAACCAGACCAAGCACATGACGCAGGTGAAGAGGCTTCCGTGGCCCTTTTGCAGGTCTGAAATGGGGAGGCTGGGGCCAGGGAACGGGTGGGGAGCCCCAGGAGCCCAAAATCGAAGCCTTTCTGCCCTAACTGCTGTGCACGCAGGAGGTACAACTCATTGCTTGGGTGCTCGGGGGCTGTGGGTGCTCCCAGGAGCTCTCCCCACAGGAACCCCCACGTACCTGGCTCCTGGATGGAGCTGCTGAAGCATCTGCCCCTCTTTCCTGCCAGAACGAGCAGCAGGAAGTGATCGAGTCGTTCCGCAAAGGAGACCTCAACCTGCTCTTCTCGACCAGCGTGGCCGAGGAGGGCCTCGACATCCCGGAGTGCAACGTCGTGGTCCGCTACGGGCTCATGACCAACGAGATCGCCATGACGCAGGTATCTGCCAGCCTCCCTCCCGCCGCGCCGCGTGTCTCCGTGGGCCCCCAAAAAATGGGGGGGGCCGGGGCGTCTCCTTGTGCCGCTGCGGCGGGGCGGGAGGCTGGACCCGGCCGGCGGAGGGGAGAGCGGGTCACCGCGACCATCCCCGCCGACCGCGGCGCCCGTGCCCTTGTTGTGCCGCAGGCGCGTGGCCGTGCCCGTGCCGACAACAGCGTGTACTCTGTGCTGGCCAAAGCGAGCAGCAGAGAGGTCTCCCGGGAGCTGCTCAACGAGAGCCTCATAGAGCTCATGGTCAGGGCGATCCGAGAGGTGCAGGACATGCCCAAGAGGGAGCAG